ATCTCCAAAAAAAGTTTACCCGGGGTATGATATGAATGTCGAGTCGACTATTATTCCCGTTTATTGTTCGACAACTACTCGACAGCAAAAACAAATGCACGAGGAGAACAAATGCGACCGAAGCATCGGCGGTGGTGGTTATCAATGAATTCCAATGAGTCTAAAACAGTCGTCGTTACGAGTGAAAGAGGCCGGCGTATAGGGAGAGAAAAGTAAAAGAAAAAACAAACACATATATAATATCAACTATAAAGGCTGGTTTACGCCTACTTCACGTGGCTGCGGCTAAGGGAAGAGAGGCGGTCGGTTGAATTGCCGAAAAACCATAAATTGGCGGTTTCCACTCTCCACAAGTCGACCAATTTATTTGCGGGATGGGCGTAGCAATGTATATACAGCGTGCACGCCACACGAGCACAAACACAATACGACACGACAACAGATGCAGACTCGGTGTAAAACAAAGGTCTCGCGAGAGGAAGGCTAAGTGCGGAAGAGTATACCGTGGTGCGGATTAAAAGGGTTCGAGGGAAGACGGATCGCACTATGACCCGCCTATTCGCTTTGTGACAGCCTTTCCCCGAGGACCATAATAATATATCACTGGCACGCGCTAAAACTCTCCTCTCGCATACGCAATAGCTGCACTAGTATCACACACTTGGCGGTGATATTAATATTGAAAGTCCGTTGAAGGGTGCCGGCGACCGAATGGCGTTGTGAAAATAGTATAACATAGACACGCGTCCGTGTCACTCACTCGAAAAAATCAAAATTAAAAAAAAAAAACAGTCAACACGATATTCGAAAGACACTCTAGAAATAAGTCGCAAAACAAATATTTCACGCTGAAAGTCCGATTATAAAATACTGTCGAATAAGAATGGGATTAAATCCAAAACGGTTTGAACCGCGCTAAACAAAAATCAACTATACAAGGTACATTATTTAATATACGGACTGATTTATACACCCCTAAACCAATTAAGCTTTTAATGCCCACCTAGAAACGATATTATACTCATTATATTTCATTAATATAACCCAGGAGTGTTAGGTCAAACCCTATTTAAAGGGGTCAATTGCATTGATTTAAGTGAATTCACTGTGTACAGTATAAATTATAAACGCTTAAATTGAACTATCAATACAACAGAAGACTAATATTGTATAAACGTTTATTAAATACTAATGAAATAATGATTCCATAGATATTTAGTCGTTCTTTAAACATCACTTAGTGTGATGCCTAAACATTTAGGCATTTTTAACACACACCCATCTCCCTCCTTCAGCCAAATAAAAAAAGATTGTGTAGGATGTGGATGTCTAGTTTGCAATGTGTGGTAATCCAACCATATACTTATAGTATTTGAATAAAATAGTATATTGTTTTTAAAAAATAGAATGGAAATTAAAACAATTAATACACACTTAAATTGTATTTAATTTGTTGGATTATTATGATACCATAATGTTTTGCCACGACACTTATTAGTTAATAGATAAATTGCTATTTAATGACAACAATGGTATTTATGTACAGCTAACACACAAACAAAAGTTAACGTTTTGAAAACAGCATATTATTAAGCCATTAAAAATAATTTTCACATTAATTTAGTTATGATGACGTTTACTATTAAAAGGCTAATACGAAATAGCCGAATGGATCATATAAATCTAACCTAATCTAATAACTGACATATTACTTCTAATATATAATTTGTACATAATCTGTATAATTCGAAAAATTCTATCGCCTAATAAACATTGTTTTTACAAACTAATCGCGCATGTTAGGTTAGGTTACGTTATACTTACAACGTGAATACAACACACGCCAAAATTATAAACACAGCTGCGTTTTAAATGTATACCAACCAACACTATGTGTACTAAACAGTTACATTTATCGTGGGAGATTATAAAATTAAAGTATAATCCGAGAATAAATAGGTGTATATAGGGTGATGGTTTGACGTATGAAATATACAATTTAAAAGACTCTGATGTCATATTTAAGGTAGAAAAAGTCATAAAAACACACATTTTTTATAAATCTTAATGTTTGTTTGTTGCCGAACAGGAATGCGTTTTAGGTACTTGAATTCATAGTTAATGCTTGAGAGATTTTATCAATTTTTAATAGGTCGTATAAACAATGGAGTAAACGATCATATTCACTGTAGTCGTAAAAATAAAGTAAACCATAAAATAAATTAAAATCATTTTTATAACTTTATTGTAAGCAATAAAATGAGAAGTGTAATAATAAACCGCATGAAGTAATAATTTTTTGGAATAGTGGGTAGTTAGGTAGTTAAGTAAAATGCACCTAAATTTAAAATTGTAAACTAAACATTTATATTTAAAAAATGTAAAATATATTCGTAGTTTATTAGTTGAAAAGACTGAAAGTCAAGACTAAACAAAAATTTGGTTTAAATTATTCATCAGTATTAGCTAATACTGCTCTGCAAGAAACTATACTAGCCCCCGGATCACAAAATAAACAGTAATGTATTATACGAGCTCATTCAATGATCAAACTGCAAATAATATTATAATTATACAACAACAAAATATTGTTGTTAATTTACTCAACAGTATAGTAGGCAAGTGTTAAATTACTTCTTTCCAACTTAAAGCGATACATATTATTATGTATAAGTTTTGTGGCAACGCCATTGAAGTATTCCATTATACTGCTGCACATCCGCAACAAACCGATTTCCAGTGAGTTTGTCGATACTTTTTCGGAAATAACCTATTGCCTGCAGTGCAAATAACAATAATAGGAGTACTCTTCTATAACCACACTATTCACCGACTTACTGTAGATTATGAATTGATGGCATCCGCCAGCTTATAGACGGACCAAACGAATTTGCCGAACAACAATCACGACAAGGGGTACGAAGTAGGCGTACTTGTTGTTGTAAGCGGATAATCAATGGCATCGATGGGACCGGCCTGTATTATACTTTGGGAAAATTGTGTCCGGCAGCAGCGCGGTAGTGGAATTAATTGAGATCCGTGTACGTCCTGGAGGCATCCCGCCGGTAGCCGAATAATATTATTATACACCGCTGGAATTATTTAAAGGGAAAGTAGGGAAGGGCACGCGGCTAAGGGACGACAGTAGGTGCGCGTTATACATTATGGTCGGTGCGGATGACGACAACCCGAGATATGTTTTGCGGGCGGTTGGCATGAGATTCCCGCCTTTTGGCACGGGTCTCCCGGTTTTCGGGTTCTCGGACATTAATTAAAATATCTCCGGGTCCGGCATTTTAATCGCAGGGGACAATCCTCCCTTCGGCCGCCTCCCATCTGGTCCATCCCCTTGTCGACTCTCGTTGTCCTACGAGGGATGATTTAATTACGATTGTGCGCGTCTGTGTTTATCGGTCGCACAAAGAGGTCCCATAGCCAGGATCAATTTACATTTCTGGATTTGCATATTCAAAACCGACTACGGTTAGGATCATCAAATTTGTCGTCTTGTTCACACACAGGATGTTTATATTCACCGCTTGTAACCCTGAGTAAATCCCTTCGATACCATTGTCTAGATGCTGACCGAGTTTATCCGGTTAATCCGATTGCCGTTACCACCAGACGCCCCTAACGTTCAAGGTTTAGTCTCGGTCAACCATCAGCGAGTAGGCTAACTTCATTATAAAGTTTTCGTTAACGGTTTGGTGACGAGAGAAACTTTACAAAATGCACATTCTATATTTGTATTAGATTATACAAAGTAAACATAAACAAAAGAAACCCGAGCTAAAACATAGTAGATAAAAAGTAAGTACTACATATTATGCTACGAAAATGTTCTACTTAAACATAATATGTAAAAATATAAATATCGGCAACGCGTCTGACCATTTAGTATTGTTTTAGGTAAATTTGTCAGAAGAAAGAAAGACACATAACTATGATTTAAAAAAAAATACAACGTTACGTTAGATTAGTAAGTGTAAATATGGAAATATGTTTAAAAAAAAATCATGCATTCGACTCAATATATTATATAGGTATAATTGGATACCTAGATAAAGTTAAGAAAATAGTTTGATAGAACAATAGTTGACTTTTATCTTGAACAAGTAATGTTTATTTTAATAATGTCTCAATTTAGTTGTTATGCATAAAGATATAATAAATAAAATACCACAAATTATACCACATCACATCGGAACTAATAAGACTATATAGTCATTGGGATGGAAAAGTATGGTAACTATATATACACCGATATTAAAAGTTTTATGTGCTAGTTATCCGATTTTAAATCTATTTGGTACTCATGTGTACTTACAGTAAGTATAAAAGCAAGGAATATACATAAATATTGACCGAGAATTGAGAAGTCACTATAATGATCGGTTGTTATCGGCTTCTATTCCCATTGTTCTTTTTATCCATATAAAATCATAAAAGACAATAGAATTGCAAGATAAAGATCAGTCGTTATTACAATGACACCCCGTGTAAGTCGAATGCCCGACCTATGCATTGGTATGAGAATTAAGTTGTCTGATCTGTTGTTCACATGTGTATGAAATGCTACCACCAGCTTCTTTCTTTGTAGAAAGAAACAAAATTGTTGTAAACAGATTTTTAATAACAATAAAAGTGTTTTATGATAAAAATAGTAACATAATTGAATTAAAACAATTGTTATAAAGTTCTAATTCGTGACGATAAAAATAATTTTGGATGAATTCTAATTTCCTAAGCTTTATATTTTTTTAGAAGTACAACACAAAAATAAGTACTTCATAACATGCATTAAATAGTTTATAAATGTGTTGGGTTTATCAATTTTAGCACACAATAACGTTTTTATATGATAACGTTTCAGTTTTTTAATAACGTTTGATATTGCGCAGAGTAAAATACTTAGAAATTTATCGCTCTAACAATCGAGTTCATCAAACTAGTACTTTATATTAATTTCTATTGAAGTCGTGAAATAACTTTAATCTTACCTTGAATTTGACGATCCTTGGATTTTCGGAAGCCATTTTGGCTAACGCTTGATAGTCGCACTGTGCTGACTTGACAATCCATTCTCTTGACTTCGGATCCAACTAAAATTACACAATAATACCTTACATGAATTAATGCGTTTTTGTCGTGAACGACCACGTTTAATGTAAAATAATTTAATATGTAAGCACTTAACATCAACACGGCGAGTGTGTACTTACCGAAGTCATAGAAATCGTGTCTTCCTCGTCTCTGTCGTTCTGCAAGAAAAAAAACGGAAATGATATTTTATAATTAAGCACTATTATTACATAAACAAGGCGTTCGCGACATTTAGCTTACAAAGCCAAACAGTCAAACTAGCGGTTTTGTGTGTAGGTATAACCTAAAAACACTGGTCATCAAATTAAATTAATTCACATGTTTTCGCCAACCCTTGCATTATTTTCATGACCTCAATACAACCAAAACTATTTCTAACATACATTGTGTATGATATATACATGTTTTGGCCATGTGCCTCCTTATACATACATGTTTATAAATTATTTTAAACCCTCTTTTTCCTGGCCACCGCCGCCACAGTTATTAATTACTATAATAGCCAAAAGGGAGAGAAATTTCAAGACCTCTCTTACTGTTGTCACTCTATTAATCTTCGAGGGACGCGCGACCGCGACAACTCGGAGATTTATGGTCCTATTTTTTCTTCGTAATATATTTACAGGATAATATAGACACTAGGTTTTCATAAATACACACACTATACGCCAACCTTCTAGTATTTTTTTTATAGTACGCATTCGGCTTATTTATCCCTAATATATATTCCGGTAAATTATTGTACCCGCAGATTCCGTTGTCCTAAGTTGAGCATCACTTTGTTCAATACGTTTAAACAAAAAATAAACCAGTTACGAATTCGAATCAATATTTATTAGCTAAATGAACAGAATAGTATCATTGTATAAAACACTTCGGATTTATGAAATCCATTATAAAAACTTATAATTGAAATAATTCATCATTTTCAGAGATTGGTATATTCATAAATTTTCATTTTTTACTTGACCTTTTATAAAATACAAAAACGATTATAGGGACAAAACGCCTAAAAGCTCTCAACGATTTACATTATAAAACTGAATTCTAGTAACATTACATCTTATACATTAAGTACAATTTTTTACTGACTGGTCGCGTGTACGATTATTAAGAATTTAATATTTAGACCAGGGTTGATCCATTAATTTCAACGATCCGTTATTATAGTAATACATTCTTAACGCAATTAGCCGACATTATGGTACGAGTTAATTTGATGTGATAGCAAAAATATATTGCCAAAGCACTAACGATGGGTAGAGACAAGAATGAAAATCACGGATAAAAAATACATATTTACTAAAATCTCGATAGTCAAATATATAGTCTTTATTCATACTTCAATTGACGTAATACCTAATGTTATTATGTCTATAAACACCGTTATTTATGTTGGCCGTTTATACAATTTGAAAGTATTTGTAATATAATTATAATACATCTATACTGCAAGTATTGTTTCTGTATTTAAATTCAAACATCATACAATCTGGATTTTCTGACTATGGGTTTTTTTTTGCCCAATTACCTTAGAACTTTATAAACTTATGTACATACACGTTATTGGTCGGCATATGATCGGTCGGAACTTTCCCATGCGCCGCCCGAGTCATTTATACCGTATTGACGCATAATAATAACTATACGATTGTAAGCATTGTATTATCGTTATATGAGAACTCACAGCCGCAACCATAATGGTCGCAAACAACTAATGGTCGGTGACGACGGGAAATTGCTGTACAACCAAAATGTATAAAATTATACAAGGCTCGTGACAAAGTCTTCTCGCTGGGTAAGAAACGCACTATGTATACTATAATAGACACGTGTACGTGCACGCGCAGAAGTCCACGTGAGTGTGTATACCGTATACGAAAAGGGAGAAAAATGCTGAAACACCCGATGGATCTCTTTTTCTGTGTGCGGACACGCGGCGATAACAACGGCTTACCGGAGGGCAACTTGTTGCCGTGGATCATTAGATCCCAACCCCGTTGCACAGCGGTCGAAAACCACAAGAGCAACAGCAACAGCACACGGCGCGGCGGTAGCAGAGGTTATACTTTTTTTTTTTTATGTATTATTGTTGTAGTTGCCGCTGTTCCATATTTCCCCAACCCCAGAGGCAATTTCTCGTTAGCGAGGTTATTATAATGTGTATATAAAATGACGACGAGCGACGGCACGGTGGGATTAAAAGTTTTAAAAGAATAATAATTGCTGTGCGCTCGAGGCGACCGAATGAAAGCGAAATGTTATATTTATTATTGTTATAAACATCATCATCATCATCATCATCACGGACGACTACAGAGTAAACTATCTTATTTCCTCGAATATAAGTGTCTCGGTAGATGCTACAGATCGCGTGTATTTAATACGAGACCCTGTAAGATTATTAGGTAGCAGAGAATTGTGATTACATTTTATAATATAGACGTTTCAATTGCGAGCACCTGATTATACAATCATCATATAATATTTATTGAATACAAATCATAATATAAAATACGACATGCATAGATAACATTATACAACAAAATTTAGTTTTTTTGAAGAAGAATAATTTTATTAGATTTTTTCGTTGAATCCGACATAGCTTCAGATTTTATACAGTTTCTGCTGCATCTAGTACTTTACTAATAATTGTACATATAATCAAAACTGTATTATGAGTTATTTAACAGAATACGTAGTATTAGTTTAATTTTCAGCACTTCAACATAATTTTAACTCTAAAATAAACGTTGTAAATTTTTTTTTTTTTAATTAATTTATTTTTATTTAAAAGCAAATACTATATTAATTACAATACTATAACTAATAATTATTTCAGTAAAATTTCTAAAAAATATACCTTGAATAATTTCCGAGTGATAAGACTTAATTATTTACTAAGTAAAACACGATCAACTGACCGGTTACAATGTTATTGCTAATCTTATTGATACATTTAGATTCTAGTATAAAAAGTAAGTCTATTAATACGTTGTAATGATCGTATGTTTGTTAGTTATTAGAATTTTACCAGAGATGATTCGTTTGAAATACAATCTGGAATCCGGATACATCATACAACTCCATGATCAAAATTATGAATCGCCAGTATCATGTTCTCATTGACTTCTATTATCGCGTTACAAGTACTTAGACATACCAATGTGTAATTATATCCAATGGATATGCTATTTCGATAAAACAATGCAACGCAATATTTAATCATTTGCGGTTCACTGATTAGAAATTTGTACAATATTCATAAATAATATTTTAGTATTTTTGTCAAACAATAATTAAAAAATGAATCCAGTAAAACGAGTTTTGGGAATTAAACTAGGCGTATACTGTGTTCCAACGGAATCGAACGACATATTCGTTGTAAGCGCATATTATATTTGTGGCTATAATTATTCAGTTTCGACTTGAGTTTTTCAGTCCAATAAATTGCGACCCAAAAAAAACTATTATTATTTTTTTTTACAGATAGATTATCACATTTTTATACCTATATAAAGTAAACACCTACTTGCACCTACTCGGAAATTAGTATATTAACAATATATTGGGTTTATCATATGATGTAGCTGTTACGGAAAACATGTAAAAATTAAGATTAAAATCGTGTTTTACTTCGTGTATTACGCCTTGCGTTAAAAATTTTATAAGTGTTAAATTTAAATGTTACTTATATTTTATGTTGATGAGAGAAAAATACATCTCGTTAAGTACCTACTTTTCTTTCACTCGTTTATTTTATATTGATGAATTTTTATCGGATGGCTAATGTTCATAAGTATCGGACAAGCTTTGCTTAGGGACACACGAAATGTGTTCGAAAACATAATCATAGAAGTATTAAATCACACTCAACGGTTATGTAAACATGTCTGGTTAATAATTGGGCTAATTTGCATTTGAATGTAAAAAATACGATCGTAAACGAATTTCGTTAAATTTCAAAACCTATACAAAATGCAATTGAACGACCAAATATTTACTTATAGTTATTTGTGGTGGAATTTGTAGATGTAATTATAGACAAGCAGGAACAGAATCGTTAAAAACGCATAAGCACCTTGCGTCGCACCTAGACCGCCAGAGCATAGTTATCCGTGTTTGGCTTCTATTATTTTAAACGGCTTCTCGGCGTGCACATAGCACAAATTATCTAAATTTTATACTCTCTGCCGCGTGGACATTATCGCTTAAGTAATCCCCTCGTCGTGCAATATATCGACGACTTAAATCGATGTCGTATGGTTTCGTGGTTTGCTTAAATAATGCATAATAACAACATTATGTCTTGTATCATTTTAGTAAGGGTTCGTCAATTGTGCAATAAATGAAACACGGGTCTTAAATTCTTAAGCAAACGATTTTTTTTTATAAATTTCAGCTCTTGATCGATACTAATATGTATTGTACAATGCACATGCAACTTATAACCTAATGATAAACTCTTTGTTGATGAATTTAATTAGGAATAAACATTTTTTTAAATATTATTTTGTGGATCGTGGCCGTCGTCATAGACTACTGGCATAGAAATTGAAGTTATAATGGGATTTGAAATTGTTGTTTAGCGAGTCATTTTACAATTTTATTTTACTCGTGCGATGCATATCTAAAGAGCTAGAGCATATATTTAAAATACATAATATAAAACTTTTTTTTTTAAATACTAGATAGGTTTAATAACTTTTAAAAATATGTTAAGTGTCAGAGCAGTAGCGAGTATCGATTAGAAATATATACATATAAGCATAATATTTCACACCCTGAATTCGGGTCGCATGCAATACTGTATAAGATCGCAGAGGCTGCGTTGACACAGGGCGGTGTCTATTTTATTTGAATTCGTATACTGTTAACATTGTTTACGATAGCCGTAATTTATGGCCGACGTGCCCAGGGCTCAAAATAGAAACGAAGGGCCAGCCAGTGAAGAGGTAGTTTTAAAGACATAATACGATTCTGAAATAAAATAATTGCCGGAGGCCGTAAATCACAGACAATATCGGCCGGGAAACTGTTCTGCCGCAATGTCAAACGTTTGTACGAATTACATAAATCTTTGCCAAAAGCTCGGTCCGTCCTCCCGTGATTTATCTGTAGACGTTTATTTTTAAAAGTTAATTGCTCGAGTCTATCA